CCGCTCGCGATCATGGGTGCAAGGCAGCAATATAGGTGTCGGCCAGTCCAAGTTTGTTGTCTTGGTCTCTAATCCCAGGTTATTGCTCATTCGAGTCGATAACCCGCTAGGGATTTGGATTTTCGGCTCCGGGCATGCTCCTTGTTGGGGCACTGCTGACTCGCACAGTGAAGTTCAGGAGTGGTGGGTCCAAATAGTCCACGAGCTAAGGAAAGCACCAGATGAGGCAAAGATTTGCCTTTTCCTGGATGCCAACGCCACCTTAGGAGGCCAATGTGATGATTTGATCGGAATGGCAGGCAGCGAGGCGCCAAATGGTGCTACGCCTTTGTTCGAACAAGCGCTCCAGCAACTGAAATTGGCCTGTCCTGCCACTTGGGAAGGCATTCATGTTGGTCAGCATGGCACGTGGAGGCATCCGCGGGGGCAATGGAAGCGCATTGATTATGTAGTTCTTTCGTTAGACATGGGAGCTTGGGTTCGGAAATCCTCCTGTTGGTTATCCTTTGATGGAGGTTTTGCGCATGAAGATCACATCCCAACTGTGACTGAGATGGATGGCTGGATTTATGTGAAGCAGCCAGCTCGTTGCACGATTGATCGCAGTCAGTGCGGTGTAGCAGACAAGATCATTGCTTTTCAACGAAAGTTGCAGGAGTTGCCTGTTATCTCCTGGCAAGCTGACATTGACGAACATGCAGCTTGGCAAAGGCAGCACATTCGCAGTCTCGCTGAGGAAGTTTTTGCGCCTGTTTCCAAGTCCAAGCAACCCCCATGGATGTCTGTTACGACCCACACTCTCATTAGTTGGAAGAGAGAATTGCTTTCCATGTGTCGGACTACTGAATCTTCGTTGTGGAGAGATATCATACGTCAGGAGCTGCGTGCCGATGAAAAAGAAGTCCGCGAAGCCTGCCATGTGGATCGTCGTGCCTTCTTTCATCAGGTTGTGCTAGATCTCGAGGAAGCGGGATTATCAGGTAACATCAAAGAAGTTATGCACAAGCTCAAGCTGCTGGGCAGAAAAAAGAAAGGCGCGGCGGCATCTAAAGCCTTGCCAATGCTACATGCTGATGACGGGGAAGTTCTCCGATCCCATGAAGAGCAACAAGCTGCATGGTTTGACCGGTTTGCGGAGGTTGAGGCGGCAGAGAAAGTTGTGGATGATCAGTTGCAGGCTGCACACCTGAGCGTTGAAGGGAGCCAGTGTGCGATCGCTCTTGACGATCTGCCTACCCTGGATCAGGTTAAATCTCGCATTCGCAAGCTCAAATCCGGTAAAGCACCGGGGCTGGATCAGATCCCAAATGAAATTATCAAAGCCGGTGGCGTAGTAATGGCAGCAATGTTGCATGAGCTTTTCGTCAAGGCAGTTTGTGCGGGTAGGGAACCTTTGGAATGGAAGACTGGCACATCAGTGCCATTGCACAAGAAAGGTCCGGTGACAAATCCTGACAATTATCGTGCCATTTCTTGTCAAACACCATTGCAAAGCTTGCGCATGGGTGTCTCCGGGACCGACTTTGCAAGACATATGAGAAGCTTGCCAGTCCTGCCTGTTTTGGGGGTAGAGCAGGTATGGGTACAGATTTTGGACATCATGTTGTTCAGAGTATGGTGTCTTGGGCCGCTGGTGCGCGTTTACCCTCAGCGCATGTGTTCCTTGACTTGCACTCTGCATTTTACCACGTCTTACGTCAGAGCCTGTTTGGTCATAGGCTCAATGATGAAGCTTTATGTTCTTTCTTGAGCAGGCACGGAGTGTCGCCTGATGAGTTGCAGGAGTGGGAAAAACAAGCTCAAGAAGACTTTGCTCTAGCAGACCAAACCCCCGCGGTTCAGCAAGCCACATTTGATGCATTTCGGCAGGCACATTTCACCATGCGTGGGTTGTCCTATGCAGGCCGCACGTCACGTGGTACTAGACCGGGAGACCCGATCGGGGATATTACCTTTAATATCCTCAGGCAGTTGCTGTTAAAAGAAGTCAGGGCCCAATTTACTCAATTGGGGGTATGTGATTGGCTAGCATGTCCGCAACAGGCAGGGCAGTTAAGGCAGTCGCAACCTGCCTTTGTCGATGTCGCTTTCTTCGATGATGCTGCTTTTTGTATTGTGGCAAAAGACTGCCATCAAGTGTTGAATCTTGCTGCGCAAGCACTTGCCATTCTCAGCGATGCAGCACGGAAGAGAGGAATGAACATCAACTTCAAGCCTGACAAAACTGAAATTCTGTTGGCATGCTCTGGGCCGGGCTCCCGTGCACTTAAAAAGCGCATTCACATTGAGCAAAGTGGCTGCATTCCGGTCGTGCTTGAGCACTCAGTGGAGAATGTCAGGTGTGTTCATAGTTACAAGCACCTGGGGTCGTATGTGCAATGCGACGCCACACCTGCGCGGGAAGTGCAGCACAGAATTGCTGAAGCAAAAAAGGCCTGGGGTCCGTTAGTTCGCAATCTGTGGTGCAATTCTTCCATTTCTCAGGTGACGTTTCTTTTACCATTGCCATGTGTGGTCATGGTTGAGGGATGAAGATCTCCGTAAGACGCAATATGCTTTTCGCGATATGATCAAGCCATTGGTCAAACCAATGCTAGCTGGGCATGAGCCTCATGCCTTTAAGACTGAAGAGCTGGCAGCCTTTTGCAACATGCTTGAGCCAGTGCAGCAAATTACTGTCAATAGGCTTAGGTATCTTGCACGTGCTGCACAGCATCAGCCTGAGGCCCTCTGGTGGATTCTGCAAGCAAGTGACCAGGAGACCAGTTGGAAGAACACCCTGGTTCGGGATCTGCAGTGGTTGAAAAGTCACTACCCAAGTGGAGAGTGGCCTTCACACGATGCCAACATGTTAGCAATTTGTGCTTTTGCTGCCCAAGACTCGCAGTGGAAGGCGAAAGTGAAGAAAGCTGAGCATGCTGCCAAACGGTATGCTCTTCGTATTGCTAAGCACAAACTGTGGACCTTGAAAATGCAGGATGCATTTCATCATTATGGTTTGTCTTTCAGTCGCCAAAGTGAGCAGGTGCAGGCGGCTGTCTTCGAGTGCCAATGGTGTCAGAAGGCCTTTCCCACCAAGCGTGGGTTGTACATGCACTCAGCACACGTGCATGGGTATCGACCCAAAGTACGATATCTCGCCGGAGGTTCCTTTTGCCTCGTGTGTCACAAAGAGTACCATGTTAGGCCTCGTTTGATGCAACACCTTCGTTACTCGCAAGAATGTGCCAGGGTCCTGCTTGAGATCTTTCCGCCGCTGCCTGTTGCGGTTGTTGAAGAGCTGGATGAAGCAGATCGGCAGCTTAGTGCCCAGCAGAAGGCGTTAGGATGGCAGGTCAAAAAAGCGCATCTCCCAGCGATGAAGGTCCCTTCAGCTGCGCTTCCGCCAGTCGGAAGTCCTGAAGCACGAGCCATCTTCTGCCAATGCCAAGTGGAGGTTGATAGTTCGCCGCCATGGTATAATGTAGAAGGTTTGAGGACTGCTGCACCAAGTGCTCCAGAGCCTGTCAGTGTGCCGGAATCTGCCCACCTTTTCCAGCAAAGACGTGGTTTTAACTCTGGGACAGCTGGAGTACTGCGACGTGAGTCGGTGTCAGTATGGGATGCACGTGTCCAAATCCGTATGGTAGTTTTTGTGCATCTTTTCTCCGGGTTTCGAAGGCAGAACGATCTCCAGAGTTGCATTGAAGCACATACATGGGTGCACAACATCGAGACGTTCTGTCTCAGCGTAGACCTCTGTTTGCAAGGAGCCGAAGGTGATCTCTTAGATCCGATTCGCATTCGCTGGTGGAGGGAACGCATTTTGTCTCGGCAGGTCATCGGAGTTGGAGGAGGGCCACCATGTGAAACTTGGTCTGTCGCAAGATGGCTTGGCAGTGGTCCACCGCCACTGAGGGACAGGCAATCGCCATGGGGCCTGAAGCACCTCACACGAAAACAGCATCTTCAAGTCAGTGTGGGTACCAGGTTGTTAGAAGCGGCCATGGAGCTTTTATCCCTGGTTATGGTGCATGGTGGTTGTGGCTTCATTGAGCATCCTCAAACAGCCACATGGATGTACGGAACTCCATGCCCCTCCATATGGCGACTTCAGGAGATAAAGGAAATGGCCACCGCGGATGCGGTATCAGTGGCCTCCTTTGATCAGTGCGTGTTTGGTGCAGCTGGAGTGAAACCAACCACGCTGATGCTGGTTCGGATGGAAGCCTTTCGGGAGATTGCCACGCAGATGGGTCTGAGAGGTAGATGTCCTCATGGGCCAGGGGCCCATGTTGGTCTCGCTGGGGCTTTTAGGACTGCACGGGCAAAAATTTATCCCGAGGCTTTGAATGCAGCGCTGGCAGAAGCTTTTCACAGCTTTGTGTACCGGCTGAGTCCGGAAAACGCAAATGCTGGACTGCCAGAAGTGTTTCATTCACTCCATGAGGCATCCACTTTTGAAGAGACCACTCACGTCCAGCCGGACTTTCATGGGTGAGTGGGGATTGATGCCTCTTCCTTTGCATGTCTTTACCAAGAGTCTCACTAGAGCTCAGTATTCGCGAAAGGAAAAGCGGGCCATCCCTATTCGGTTGGCAGGAGTTCCTAGTACCTCCTAGCAGCGCCCTTGCTCCTAGTAGCGATGCCAGGAGCCCCTATAGTAGCGCCCTTGCTCCTAGTAGCGATGCCAGGAGCCCCTAGTAGCGCCCTTGCTCCTACTAGCGATGCCAGGAGCCCCAGTAGCGCCCTTGCTCTTAGTAGCGATGCCACTGCTCCTAGTAACGATGCCAGGAGCCCTACCAGCGCCCTTGCTCCTAATAGCGATGCTAGGAGCCCCTAATAGCGCCCTTGCTCCTAGTAAGGCCAGGGGCCCTTGCTCCTAGTAAGGCCAGGAGCCCCAAGTAGCGCCCTTGCTCCT